TGGGGGTTCAACACCTTAATCGCTATGCCACCTGCTGCAACCCCTCCCCCATCTAAATTCTTTATGACACTTTTCCAGTCTCCTATGGCTACTTGCTGCATTTTTATGGTTTTTAATTTTGATGGAAAATCAAAATTAAATTTACATGGAAATTTATTAGGATTGAGTTCTATCAAAATTTATTATCTCAATCTACCTTTCTTGCTTTTGTATAGAGCCAAAAGGGAGACACTGGTTATTTTGACAACCTTAAAGTAGATCCTAGGAATTTTGCCAACAGCATGACACCCATCACACCTGCCTATTGTAGCTTGTCTTCTTTTTTAGCCTAGTACATCTGAGTTCATGATTATATTGAATTATCCACTCATATTAATTTCCTCCATTGCCCATAAGGCCCCCATTGTCTTTATCCTTATGAGCCTCAAGTGACTAACATGCATTTGGAGGTCAAAAAGATTTGTGACCCTGAGCTGAATGTGGAAACAAGTAAGGTGTGTTCCCTGCATTATGACCTAGTGAGGAAAGCAACTAAGGACACAAACAACCTCTGTAAGGTGGGAAGTCATACATAGCCTATTAGAAATTCCATCACGAGGCTGGGGCAGAGGAAAAAAGAATGATGTTAAAAGAAATACTTCATGGAGGCGACACCTGTGTGTGTGTGTGTGTATGTGTGTGTGTGTGTGTGTGTGTGTGTGTGTGTTGGGAGAAGAGGCAGTTTGAAGAGAATTTAGAGAAGAGGCTTAAAAATACTACATGAGCTCTGCAAATATGCTGACCACTAAGTTATCTTACTATATGAGTGAATGTTCGTGTCGGGAGCCCAGGACTTATTTTGGTGGTGAGCAGTAGACATTGTCTCCTCCTCAGCACTAAATAAGCTATAACATTTAGTTGGGGAAGAATTTTGGTCTAGGGTTCCTGGCCATTCAGTGACTGACTGGGCAGTAGCAGACACATGTGGCAGTTTGGGGACTTGATGGGTGTGAGGTCTCTCTAGGGTCACTTCTAGTTCTGGTCTTCATCAGATGAAGAGTGGCAGGGAAGAGCAGGTGCTGTATAAGGTCAAGAGTGTCAACTGAGCTCTGAGAGGCGGTGTTCTACGGCACAGCACAGGACTGAAGACAGAAGAGTGATGTCTGCTGTCTTCTGATAGAATCAGCCATGCTCCCCTGCAACCCAGCTCTTAACCAATGACACCCAAAGCTGAATTGCAATGGGCCATCAAAAGGCCTCTAAACACCGATACCAGATGCCAACAGGGAGCTTCCTTTTCCTCTCCTTGAGTTGTATGAGAGCATAAAACCCCACGGGATCTTTCTTCATAGGAGATGAAGAAAAAAACCACACATGGGGAAAGCATTCAGTGAATGACAAGAGATCAGGAATACACAAAATTTTAATTTGTAAAATTTGACAAGGGACTTTCATTTTGTTAATTTTAGAACTTGGCAGAAATAGCTAGTTGACCTCTTCTGGAGGAAAAACTCAGTGGCTATACATTTATATTTGAAGAAATTCTGCTTTAACTAGTGTGCAAGAGCATTGGCCTAAAATTAACAGGGAAAAAATTTTCTAGGGAACTTGCTGGGTATGATAATGGGAAAAAAAATGTGACAGTGTGGTGGGCTGCTATTACTTCTTCTTTGTCATATAATCTTTGAGAATATTATAAGAGCTTTCAATGACAATATGACTTGGAGTTAATTTAGGAAAGTCCCTTAAATATGGAGTCAGCAAGCACCAGCTGGTGGCATGGTGGTTAAGGCAGCTGGATCCTACATGGCTGACTACACAGTTTGTGTCCAGACCCAGCGGCTTCAAAAACACACTGGGAACATGTGCATGCATGCCCAAAATCCAGAGAGGAGAATGGAGCAGAAACGATCATGGTATGGCCATGCTCCCGAGGGTGCTTTCTTACTTCCCCCCTCTCTCTGTCTCCAGAGAGCACATGTACCATGCATCAAGTTTTAAAATAATTAATCTACCTATATAGATAGATATCTATAGATAGATGTCTAGAAATATATCTAAATAGATATCTAGATAGATAGATAGATGAGAGAGAGTGCCAATTAGCAAAATTCTCATGAATTTCAGGATATTGATGTTTTCTCCTTCCTAGAACAGTTCAGGTTTTCCTGCAGGAAACCTCATTGGGCCAACAAGCACCACTCACACAGGAGAAATTGCAAGGTGAGCTCACCATCACCTATCCTGAAAACTCTGAGTCCACATCAAAAGCTTGGTCGACTTTTAAATGTGAAAATACTGAATTCTGTTGGGTTCAGATGGTCTATATTTAACAAGTCATAATAGTGAGTTACCTTACAAATGTAGTAAACAAAATAAAAAGACAATTATCTTTAAAAGGCCATACTATCTGTGAGTACTTGTGTTGGGGCTCGTGATAGACATACCTGTAAATATTGGGTTGTCAGGAAAGTCATAATATGTTTTGCATCATGACTTTCCCAACAACCGAATAGTTTGGCAAGCTTTACGGTATAATAGAAGACAGAAAACCTTCACATTACAGGTGTACCCACTTCAGTTACCTTGGGCTTTATGACAGTCATCTAGAAGTTTTTCTAGAACTAGGTAAGGATGGACAGAATGAATGAATAAATAAGTATCCCTTAAGTCCCCTGAGTCTTATTTCCCTCAATTACAAAGAAGAGGAGTGAAAAAAATCTAATAGCAGTGAACTACTAAATATATATGAATATATTTGGTAAATTGTAATTTCACCACAGAATGTTATTATCATTACCTATACATTCATTATTTTGTCAAATACAAGGTAAAGAGAAATCAGAAATGACATGGGCAAAGTTTCCAATAATTTAAAGTATTATGACCTTTTATTGCAACCGACTATGCACTCATAAACATTTTATCAAAGCAAAACATAATTTTGCAGGGGGCAGGGTGGGAGCTAAACTATTCCCAAGAAATTATCTTTTTAAAAAATATTTTTAAAAATAATTATTTTTATTAAAATTTATTTATTTATTTATTTAATTTAATTTGACCAGAGAGGGAAGGAGGGAGAGAAGGAGGGAGAAAGGGAAAGTGAGAAGCAAGCCGCCACGTCTGGGACTTGAACCACACTCAGCCATGTGGGAGTCCAGCGCCCTTAACTACCATGTCACGTGCCAGCCCCCCCTCCCCCAAGAAATTATCTTAAAATGTCAGCCCTAAGAGAGGGGATCTGGGTTTTTGCAATATTCTGCATGCAAACCATATGCTGACAACCAAGGTTCTTGACCACCTTGACCTTTTACTCTATTTTGGGGATTTCAGCACAGGACAGTTATGATGCAAAGTGGAGTCTCTCGTAATCCTGTTTGTGAAAGGGAAGCAGTGGGGGGTAAAGACATGGCATCTCCTGTTGACCTCTCAGGTTTGCACGGTCTACTGAAACAGATGGGGTGTGGCCTACCTGCCTGCCAGTCAAGGTAGCAGTCAGTGGTAAGACTGCAATCTTTGGTTCCTGAACACCATTCTCAGTCAGTGACGACAATAGAGGCAGACAATAAGTGATTTATCTGCTGACTCCATTTACCTAACATGAAATGGTCACCTTGTAGAACCCTCAGTCATGACATACACTCTGCAAGAAAGGTCAGAAAGAAGCACCCACTTTCAAAATAGATTCTCAGCAGGTAAATAGGAGACATTTGGGTCACTCAGTCTATTTTCAGTCTGCTTTGGCAGTAACCACAAAGAAAGCCCGAACACACATTTTTGTGGCTGTAGAATCCTGCTGTCATGTCCTCACCAAAGACCCACCCCTTTCGTGGTGACTGATAGGACCAATCAAAGGTTACCAGTGCCACGTATCCCACGCACTCTTCCAGAAGCTTC